GGTCTATGGTTGGGGTTATGGACAGAGTTATCGATCTCGGCGGACCACATCTCTGAGATCGGCAACTCCCAGGCCGACTGGCTCAGCAGGAGCCGAGTCGACCAGGCAGAATGGTCCATTCCTCCGTTTCTATTCAGGGATCTTTCCCTCAGATTCGGAACACTGGAGTTGGATCTTTTCTCCACTCCTCAAAACACCCAAGTTACCAGATTATTCACCAGGTTGCCTTGCCAGGGAGTGGAGGGGACCAATGCTCTTCGGTGCAGATGGCCCAAGGATCTCCTCTATGCCTTTCCCCTGCTTCCCATCATTCCGGCAGTAATTCGGAAGAGGTTGGAGGAACGTGCGGAGCTCCTTCTGGCACCCTATTGGCCAAGGAGGCCCTGGTTTGTGGACCTGGTCAACCTATCGGTGGCTTCTCCTTGGAGGATCCCTGCCCATCTAATCTCCCTTCACCAGGGGGCCCTGCTCCACCCAGAGCCCCAGTGGTTCAAGCTGACCGTGTGGCACTTGAGTGGCAGTGGCTAGAGGAGGCTGATCTTCCAGAAAGGGTCATCCTCACTATCCTGGCTTCTCGCAAACCTTCTACAAGGTACGTCTATGCTGCCATCTGGAAAGCTTTTTCCCGATGGCGCCTCAGGGAGGGTCTTTCTCCTGCTTCAGCCCAGTTGGCAGAAGTTCTTAGCTTCCTTCAGCATGGGCTGGAGAAAGATTTGGCCCCAACACCTTACGCAGGCAGGTTGCGGCCCTCTCCTCAGTCCTTTCATGGGGTTCGCTTCCTTCCTTATCCCATCACACTTCAATCAGGAGGTTTTTGAAAGGGGATTCCAACCTGCACCTTCCGGTGGTTCACAGGAATCCTTCCTGGGTCCTTCATTTGGTCCTTAATGCCCTTACAAAGCCCGCCTTTGAACCCCTTAGAACAGTGTCTCTCCGTTTCCTGACTCTGAAGGTCGTGTTCCTTGTTGCCATCACTTCTGCCAGGAGGGTTTCCGAGCTTGCTGCTCTTTCCATCAGACAGGACCTTTGTTCCTTTCATGATGATAGGGTTGTTCTTCGTCTGGACCCCTCATTTATTCTGAAGGTTAACACCTGGTTTCACAGGTCCCAGGACATTGTTTTGCCTGACTTCTGTCCTCTCCCACACCATGACTTAGAGCAGCAGTGGCACAAGCTAGATGTAAGAAGGGCTCTTAGAATATACATTAAGCGCACGTCCTCCTTCAGGAAGTCGAAAGCCATGTTTGTTTCCTTTTTCCCTTCTCACTTGGGGCACAAGGCCTCTTCTCCTACTATTAGCAGGTGGGTCAGGTCTTACATTGAGCAGGCCTACAAAGCTGCGGCCCTTCCGGTTCCCTGAGGTCTGACGGCGCACTCTACCAGAAGCGCGGCCACTTCTGCTGCCTGAGCGACCCAAGCATCCTTGGAGGAGATTTGTCATGCGGCCACATGGACATCCACATCTCCTTTCATCAGACACTACTGTCTGGATGCTTTTGCCTCGGCGACTGCAGCCTTCGGCAGAGGGGTGCTTCAACGAGTGGTTCCACAGTCAGTGTGATGAGCCAGACAAGGACCCACCCGTGGACATGCAAGCTTTGGTATGTCCCATCCTGGGCCCTTGATGCAGCATGGAGGAAAATGGGTGTTGGTAGAAGTTACTGTGAACGCCTTTTCTATCTATGCTGCGAGAGAGCCCAGCCTCTCCCTTGATTCATCTGGAGAGGGTAAGACATATTTCTGTATTTATTTTGGGCTTTCAGAGACACCTTTCAGTCTGTCAAGTATCTTCGCCAAAGCTGAGGTCTCTCCTGGGGGCTGGCTTTTATATCTTAGTACAGACTCAGCTATGACATCATAGGAAGGAGTCAACCCATCCTATCCTGGGCTCTCGCAGCATAGATAGAAAGGGCGTTCATGGTAACTTCTACCAACGCCCATTTTATTGGCAGGATTCACCCAAGATGCTCAGCTAAAATGTCATTCGCTAGTTCATTGATCAATATAATTAGCAAGTCTAACCAATGTGCTCATGTTTTTAGTAATATTCCATGGGAATTCAAGCAAATTAGTTTAATAGATACTTATCAGTTAACAATGGGCTAGGTCTGTGATGGCAAACATATGGCACATGTGCCAGAAGTGGCACACAGAGCCACTTCTGCCGGAATGCGAGAGGTCGTCCGGAAGAGCCCCACTGCCCGCCCATCCTCCTGCTGATTGTCGGGTATCTGGCATGCATGTGCGGGGGCGATGGCGCAGGAGATGCATGCACAGAGATCCACGGGGCATGTGTGTGCAGGGGTCACATTGCCTTCTGGGTGCTGGCACATGAGCATGCATGAGTGCGCATGCAATTTTCAGCACGGGAGCCCAAAAAGGTTAGCCACCACTGGGCTAGGTTGTGCAAAAACAGCCATTGGTTCTATTTATATATCATATCAAGTTATTGAATGCTTAACTATGATTGGTCTGATTAAACCACAATCATCTAGGATCTTTCAGGCTATATTATAACCATTATGTATAATCAATAGTGACTCGGTTTACATGATATCTTCAATCTCAAACAAGTAATCACATTTTGATCTAGCATATTTTGTGAACTCATACTTCATAGGTTCATATGGGATAATGGGGTGTTCCAAAAAGTCCTAAAGTCAAGAATGTCTTATAATAGAAGGGATTTTCAAAAAGATTTGCAAATGTTTTTTAGCATTTTTCAACTAAAAAAAAAATCCCTTCCTCCTTTGGAGAAATATATTACGGAATGTAATTTTGTGTATATACAGTGCATTTTGGTGCCATCTTCACCAAAAAAACTGGCCACCCCACTTCTATAATTAAAAGAAAGTGCTCTTCCATTGCATATCCCACAACCTCCCATTTTAGCACCATTTATAGCTTTAGATTGCTGCATTAAAATTGGTTTAAAGCATCTCCCTGCAAACGGCCTGTGTTCCATCATGCTTGAAAACAGCCACCATTATCCCAGTCCCCAAGAAAACAGCAATTAACTGTCTAAATGACTACAGACTTATTGCGTTAAGTCAGTAGTAATGAAATGCTTCAAAAGACTGGTTCTCCAACACCTTAGGACATGCCTCCCATCAGACTTTGACAAACATCAGTTTGCCTATAGGGGGAACAGGTCAACAGACGATGCCATAGCTACTGCCTTACATTCTGTAGTGAGCCATCTGGAGAAACCCAGAAACTATGTCAAGTTGCTTTTCATTGACTACAGCTTGGCCTTTAATTGTATCCTGCCGAGCATCCTTATCAAAAAGTTGACTGACTTGGATTTTCCCTCTTCCATCTGCGACTGGATCAAAGACTTTCTGAGGGACCAACCACAGTGAGCTCAAAATTTCTTTTGTGAGACAGTTGTTAAGTGAATTTTGCCTCACTTTACAGCCTTCCTTGTCACACTTGTTAAGTGAATCACTGCAGTTGTTAGTTGATTAACAGATAACAGATAATCATAGTTGGAAGGGACCTTATAGGTCATCTAGTCCAACACACAAATGGGAGAACCTACATCATTTCTGACAAATGGCAGTCCAATCTCTTCTTTAAAGTCTCAAGTGATGGCACTCCCACAACTTCCGAGGGCAGTTGCATGGTTGTTAAATGAATCCAGCTTTCTCATTGACTTTCCTTGTCAGGTGTTTGCAAGAGGTGACCACACGACCCCTGGACACTGCAACCATCATGAATATGAACCAATTTGCCAAGCATCTGAATTTGGATCACATGACTATGTAGATGTGCTATGGCCATAAGTGTGAAAAACAGTCATAAGCCAGTTTTTTCAGTGCCATTATAACTTTGAACAATCAAAAAACAAATGGTTGTAAAGTGAAGATTACCTGTATTACAAGGCCATTCAGTGTAATTTCTTAACAAATATTAATAATCAAGTTATATAGGATTTGTTGGTTTGGCATATGGGAAAACAAATATAATGGCTTAGTTTATATATGAGTGAATGTAGCCAATATAATAAATTTTACAGAAATGGAATTCCAAGCAAAGCTTCTACTATTAACTCAATTTTATATCAATAAATTGATAATGACAGTATCAACTTTCAACATTTAGATCACATTTAGATCACATGTCAAACACATGGCATCAAATTGCCATCACATGATTTTCCCCCTTTGCGAAGTTGGGGTGGGTGTGTCCTGCCTGTAATGCATCCTGCTTACAAGACACCAGTTTGACACCCCTGATTCCACATCAATAGGTTTTCTTCCTGACTATCTAGCCCTGACTTTTTTCTTTTCAGTTCACTCACAGCCATGTAACCATTCATCCATCTTGTTTGGTCATCCTCTTCTTTTTCTTTCCACCTTTCCCTGCATTAAAATCTTCTCCTGGAGTCAGTCCTTCATATAATGTATATGAATTATGTTAATTTGGATCTATCATTTGTGGCACATGTGAGAACTCGGGTTGAGATTCATTTCTTTGATTGCTTGGCTGTCTATGGTATCCTCGGGAATCTCCTCCAAAATTTAACTGAATGAATACAGGTGTTCCTTGACTTATGAAGTTCATTTAGTGAGTGTTCAAAGTTACAGCAGCACTGAAAAAAGGTAGTGATGACCATTTTTAACAGTTATCACCTTTTGTGATGACCCAGAGTGTACCACAAACGTAACAAAATCCAAAATGTAAATAAATGTCCTTTAATGCCCCCAACTTGCCCCACTGTCCAATAATACTCAGTTGGAGATAAAACGTACTCAAAAATAGTCTTCAAAAGAAAGCAAAACAGCCCGAATTTAATGAGCAAATAGAGGTGAAATAAAAAACCAAACAAACTACAATGATGAAATTTCCACAACAGAACAGGAAAAGTATTTACCAAATTCAAGAAGATAACACAGCACAGTTTGTCGGAAGGACGCCAACCAAGATAACTTCAGACCAAAATAAAACACGCTTTGTTTCCAGTGTTTGCCAGTACACAGGTCCAAACTCTTATGCAGTTCTCACACCTGCAGCCCATGAAGAGGATCAAGGCCCGCTTCTCCCAAGTAGACCACATCTCTCCCTGATCCTCTCCTCCCTGAGTGCCCTAGGATGGAGAGGAGATGGGCCTGGGTCCTCCTCTGAATGCTCAGCCGGCCTCTGCCCTTCCCCAGCCTCCTCCACAACCTCCGGAGCCACACTTCCACTCCCTGTCGGATGTTCCTCCTCTCCGTCAGTCAGTCTCCACCAGGGGCATGACCACCTTTGTGGCATATCCATGGTCATGTGATCAAAATTCAGATGCTTGGCAACTAATTCCTATTTATATTGATTATGGTGTACCAAGGTCATATGATCACCTTTTGACAAACAAAGTTAATGGGGGAGCAATTCACTTAACAGCTATGCTACTAACTTATCAACTGCAGTGATTCACCTAACAACTATGGCAAAAAGGTCATAAAATGGAGGCAAAACACACTTAACTAATGTCTCTGTTAACAACAGAAAGTTGGGGTTCAATTGTTGTCATAAGTCAAGGACTACCTGTACTCTTTCCATCCTGTGTCTTCAGAGTCAAACTTTTGCTTCCACAGACTGTCATGGGGAAATCTTTGCTTGCACTGTTTTGATCTTTGTAGTTATGGACACATCATGACAAGTGAATATCTTTTAGCAATGTGAACTTGCATAAAAAATATAATTGTGGCTAAAGAAGTATTGTTTGGCTTAGAATTGATATTATGTCTATGGGGCTTCATGGATGAATGTATATTTTTTAAATATATTTTGAGGATTGTACACATATACCCACCCACCCTCGCATATATATATATTTATGTAATTATTTGGTGACTTTTAAATGTCATATTAGCCAGTTTATATACAATATTTACTCTGTGTTTAAAATATCAGAAGTATTGTTAAAAGAAAACTGTGATTTTAAGGACATGCAAAGTGACTTTTCCTTTGTCACTGAAGCATTGGCGTCCTTTCTTAACCACAAAGATGCCCAGATGATGAAACATATAATGTAAAGTTGGAAAACAAGCTTTACATTTTCATACTTTCAATCACAATGTTGCTTATACGTATTTAAGACTTGGCCCTTTGAGGTAGACCAAATTTAGGAAACCAAAATTATGAATATTAAAACTATTTTATTATAGGGTTAGAGTAATAGAATCTTGTAAGTCTGAAAACTCCCCTCTCCCTATCTTTATCTACAAGCAAACTAGGGAGGATCATATCTGAGGTGTTATTTTCAGATTACATTTCTGCTTTGACACACGTGTCATTTATCTGATCACCGTCTTGTTTATGTTCCTCTTGTTCCTCAAGATTCTTATAACCTATTAGATTAACTTAAGGATGGAATTGGCATTGCAGCACCATGGTATATGTCACTAAGCACAGTGTTGCTCTCAGGAAGCTATTCTTGTCTTTGCAATGTTACTACTCTTCAGAATTCGTTCTCCGTGAATTGTTCCACTGTTGAATTGTTCCACTGTTCCACTTGTCTCACCCATCTCTACTCTACTCATCTCTCTGCAGAGAATTTACATTTTCTAATAATTGCATATTGACATTTTAAAAAATATACTCCTCCCCCGCCCCCGCCACCTTATGTGTATAACTATTGTTATACCTACTGACAAAAGGGCCTGGCTGCAAAGATGCAATACAAGTTGCTCTTTTAATATCACAACACAGAGTGTTGAAAATTAAAAGGAAAAGATGGCTTGGTGACTCTTTTAGCAGCAATCACCCAGATTTTTCTGAGAGAAATGCTCATAATAGGTAAGTGTCTATGAAGATTCTCACTCATCCATTCAGTCAAAACTGAAGAAGCTTCTTGGATGAGAGGCAAAATGTCTTCAAGGAAAAACAAAGAAAGGCCAGTTGCTTTTTGAAAAAGCACGTTTGGGAAGACTCACAGTTGATACATTCCTAATGTATACAGAGAAAAGGTAGCATGCATTCATTTGTTAATGGAATACAAATGACAGGATTTTTATAACTGAGAAGTTACAGCGGCTCCAGATAGAGGGGTTTGACTGAATGCTGAAGTTTTCCTACTGGTCTGCTGGAGGGAATATCAAATGACATGGTAGTCCCTGCATGATCTTCAGATTCTGAGATCAGTAGAAGAAAAAAAGATTGAGGTGGATTTCAGATTGCTTTGGAGCCTGAAGGTGGTGAAGTCACAGTATGAAAAGATGACATTACCTCGGAGAGCCCCCTCACTGCTTATATTAGAAAATTATTTAACTCATAGAATGTTCTCCTCCATCCTTTCCAGGTTTAATTTTTTTAGTTTAATCATGGAATACTCTGGTTTGGTTTTGGTTCCTACTTATGGGTTCCTTTGCCACTTTTTAAATGCTTATTGATACATTATACATTACCACCCAACTAGAAAGGTTTAAAGCAGAACTGCATGATGCATATTTCCAGTCACTCCCAATAGTTTTTTTTCCATTAAGCCTGGATAATACACCTTTTACTGCATGAGATGAAGTCACCATCAACCAGCTCAATCAAGAGAATGATCTCTGCTTTGGGCAGTCTCCCAAAGCTGGGTGGGAAATATTGGAGGAAAAAACTATCTAACAAAACCATCCCAGAGTAGATGTGGAGATATCTGAATTAGGACATATGGTATTTGGGAGAGGGGGATAGTAGTCTTCATCCAGTTTGCACCCACAAATTGCAATGGGGAAATTCCCAAACTTTTCCATCATTTTTATATTTTGAATGGACAAGAATATACAGTTTTACTGAGTCTAGGTAAAAGCAATTGCCACTTTTCAAATTAATTATATGATAAGTTAAGATTGTATGTATACAATCTATGTCTAAATTAGCAATTTCCTTTGTCTCCCTTCCTACCCATCCAAAAACCTGAAATGCTTTTTTCAAATTCTTGTGTATGCTAAGTTAAGGCTTCTCTGTTGTTCAGTACCAATCATCCTGCTTTTTTCACAGAAATTCACACAGGGTACAAATCTTAACTCTAATCTTCTATTTATTTTTCAATTTTCTATGAAATACTTAAAGAAAGATGGATAGGTTTGGGTGTTAAACAATGAAAAAAACTCAAGAACAAGTGTCCCACTCAATGCCAAAATAAGATGATGATTTTGATTTCTAAGTTAATAAGTAACCCTAAATTAAGTTTCTAAGTAATCCCAGGATTTTTGAGATTAATTCAGAAGAAACAACTTTTCCAATATTCAGCCTTAGAGCAGTCAGTGATCTTCAATATAATGAACACCACAACACCGGACTAAAACTATGAAACCATGTGTCAAACAGTGAGCTATTCTGAAGCATTCAATCAATAGAATGCTTTATTCTTTACTTATTAGTTTTTTATGGCACATTTTATACAAGGCTCAAAGGAACATACATAGTTCTCTTCCCCATTTTTTCACAACCACAGCCCTGCAAAATAGGTTGGGTAAGTGCGACTGGCTCAAAGTCACCTAGCTACCTTCTATGGCTGAGGCTTGACAGGAGCTAACAGACCGGGGGACCCAACCATTACCAGTCAGAAGATCTTCCGTCCCTCCTTTCAATATTTTTTCATAAAATAAAAATGAAAGTTCATCCGTGCTTGCAAATCCAAGAAGTTTGCAAATGAGTCATAGTTCTTCCAAACAACCTGCTTTTCTGCCCCTAGATTTCTAGAAGCATCATGAAAACAAAGCAAATCTTGAGACCACTGTTCCAAATATAGTTGTTAAAACTATGATACAACTAGAACTGGTGTGCTCACTTGTTGAACCTACAGTGTGCACGGAGCTCTGATATGGGATTGGAGCTTGTGCTTTCTGGCCAGGCATGCAGGTGGACAAGTATTTCTGGATTCACCTTTTGGTTTTGTGCCCAAACCCTGACTCTTTACCTCAGAATAAGAATTTGGTGTGCTTATCAAGATACCAAATAGATAAACTCTTGAACCTCTTGCAATTGTGATTCCTATGCCCATTACTGATTTTCTATCACTTGGATATTAGCAATTGGAAGGTAAGGCATACTAGGTATCCCCTCCAATGATAGCCTACATCAGCAGTATCAAACTTGCGGTCCACAGGCTGGATCATCACATACTGGCCACGCCCACCCCATTTTAGCAAAGAGGAATAAAGTCATGATACGTCATGTGACTATGTGATGACATGAGTTTGACACCCCTGGTCTGGATGGTCCAACATTCTTCCGTAGCAACAATCCTTTGTAACAGAATTTGTGGCTGCAGCAGAAAGAAACCAGAACATCCAAGCATGACGGAAGCCACTATATCTGATGTCAATTATAAGATGGGAATTAATTTCATTTAATGAGGTAATTGCATCTCCCTTTTGAAGAACTTGGTAAAGTGCATCCAACCCAAAGTGTTTGCTATATGGCCTGAAACATTAAGAGGAAAACACCTTGTTTTTATCAGTTTCATTCTAAATGAAATAAATGCTCAAAAAACAAAATTCATGTGTCTTAATGTTTTACTATGCTTTTAATGGTATCTCTCATGGAACAAATGATGCAACTGCCATAGGAGACAATTTCAAGGCTCCCACTTTTAACTTTCTTGTTCTGTTAATACATACTTTCATCTAAAACATTATTTTATTATTTTATTAAATTTAACTCCCTTGTGATGGCTCTGGGGGGCTTACATGAATAAAATCCCAAATACAAATCCAACACACCTCACCCTCCTGCCACAGCGATCAAGCACAACATTTGATTGGCTCCATATCAACTCAGGATCGTGTTGGTAAAAGCACACCTTCAGGGCCTTTTGGAAGAGTAGCAAGATGGGGGCCAGTCTTATCTCTATGGGGATGATATTCCACAGATAGGGAACCACCAAAGACACAACTTTTTCTTGATCCTACTAGGTGGATTTCCTTGATGAAGGGTACCTGTAACATACCTGGCCTCCCTCTCTGGTGGGTGGGTAGATACAATTAGGAAAATATTCCAAATATGATCTTATTTATATTTATTGAATTTCAGCACC